TTTTTTTTTTTGGTTCATATCTAGGTTTTGATTATCACCGTTTCAAAAGATAATTTGTATAAGTCGTGGTTTTTGGATTGATGGTAATTGTGTTTATGTGCTCCCTTTGTTTCATTTCATTTTCAATATCAAATTTAAATGACAAGTTGTTTGGTAAAAAATGTACAACTAAAGATGAAACTTTATCTTGCAAGAGAGGATTTTGTATTATAATTTATAATAGTCTTAAGTTATACAGGGTTCATGTCATCGTTTTTAGTTAAATTAATGTGTGTTTTTAACCTCATGTGAAATACTTGAGCTTTGATTGACTCTGATAATTGCTTCATTATATGTTAAAAGTTGTCAAGAATTGAGTGTTTTGCCGTTTATATTTCCAAGAAGTACTAGGATATCTTATTGTTTGAGCTTCAGTGCACGTTACTTTCATTGATGGGAGAAATTAGATAAAAGAAATTGGTCATGTTTTCAGCATCATTAATTTTGAAAGTTAAAACGGTTTTCAGCATCATAAAGTACTCATTGTGATAAAAAAGAAAGCGATTTGTATTTCTTAGTCAGAATTTTTTTTATTATTATATTGCCGTCGTTGGATGCTTTAATGGTTGAGTATATTGGTTGGTTGTTGGATCTAAGAAGACGATAGAATTCAATGTGTTTTTGGCATTGTAGCATTGGAGCAAAACATGAAAGTTGCATGCTAAATTTAGCGTTTTGAACAGCATGGTATTCCAAATAAATCCATAGTTTGAACTTTGGCCTTTTGCATTGTAGATGGTGTGAGAAGGTTTTCCGTGTATATATGTCAAGGTAAGTAATACTGCAATAACATTAGATTATAGGATTTCATTCGAAATGATCTGAAGTCTCAACAACAATATTTACTGGATATAACACTGACAATTCATGGTTCTCGTTGGGGTCTTGTATTGTATTGTCTGTTTCCAGAATTATATCTCATGCTTATTGGTAGAGGTTTTCTTTGGTGGCTAAAAGATATTAATAGATGCAAAATAAATCAGTCAAATGTTGCTGAATTACTGATTTTTTATGTTGTACTAGTAGAACTATACGGGAACCAGTCTCAATTGAGCGGTCATTTTTCATAGTTACAGGTCATGCTTTCGCACTTTCACATTTGCAACTGTAGAGGGCGGTTTATGACCTTCCAATTTTCGGTGCTATATTACTCTTGTTGTGGCCATTTAAGAACAGAAAATGAAACACACACAGATACACATATATGTATTGTTACACTTTGTCTACATTTCTCAGTGTGCCTGTGATGTGTTCTGAAATTCTGATAACTATCTTGTGCTTCCTGACTATCCAGTGTGAGAATGGACATATAGCCTGCTCTTCCTGCTGCACTAAACTAGGAAATAAATGTCCCTCCTGCTCATGGCCCATTGGCTATAACCGTTGCCGGGCAATCGAGAAGGTTCTGGAATCAGTCAAAATTGCATGCCAAAACAAGCAGTATGGTTGTAAAGAAATGGTTAGTTACAGTGAGATAAAGGACCATGAAACGACATGCACACACGCACCTTGTTCATGCCCTCTTACTAGCTGCAATTTCATCTCCTCCGCCAAGCAGTTATACCAACACTTTCGCAGTCAACACGCCGATTCTGCTGTGCTTTTTCAGTATAACTGTGATTTTACTGTCACACTGAATGAGGGTGACAAGTTTCTTGTTCTTCAAGAACGTGATGGTGGTGGCTTATTTATCCTTAACAATGAAACTGAAACCCTAGGAAATTTAGTCTCCGTTAGTTGTATAGGGCCCTACTCATTTGGAAAAAGCTATTATAATCTGCTAGCAAAATGTGATGGAAACACTCTCAGACTAGAGTCTTTTGCGACGTGCACTCAGGGCCAGGCTGATTACTCTCTATCATCAGTATACCTCCTTATTCCACCTGGTTTTTTTGGTTCTTCTGGCCAGCTCAAGTTGGATCTCTTCATAGAACGTCACGATCAATCTCCTGGATGCTCTGAAAGAAGTGTTGAGGCTGCTTAACACGAGGTAACCATTGCAATTAGAGTTGTACATGATTTTAAATTTTAGATTGACTGTATTTATATCATCTTAACGTGTTCAAGGAAAATATATATATATATATATATATATATTTTTTTTTTTTTCCTTATCAGCCCTTTGGACATTGCGTTATTTTTTCTTTATATATGAGCATTAGCAGGATCTGTCATTTGCTTTCTTATTATCCGTCGGAGTTGATAATTGACACTAATCCTCCTAATTTTTGTTGGCTTGATACTGAATCTCAAATTATTTTATTAGGCATTGCTTACCCTATATACATTTTTTTTATTGACATTTAACACCGATTCAGTAGGTCCATATTTCTTTAAATTGAGTTACATGACTTGTATGTGCTCGCAATTTAGGGGTCATTTTGGTAAGAGAAAAATCGAAGTTGATGGAAAAATCAAAATCGAAGTCGAGAAAAATCACAATTTAGGGGTCATTTTAGTCTCTGTTAGTTGTATAGGGCCCTGCTCATTCAAAGGGTGCTTCTATGATCTGCTGGCAAAATATAATGGAAACACTCACAGACTAGAGTCTTTCACGAAGCGCACGCAGGGACAGGTACAGGTTGATAGCCCTCTATCATATTACTGCGCCTCCTAATTCCTCTGACGGGTGTTCATCCAATTCAATCCTGTCTATTTTGGTCATGTAACAACCAATCCAATTAAGGGTCGGTTATTAAAATTTACATCTGATCTAATTGAATTACTAGTGTATCATCCAATACAATCCAATCTTACTAAGGTCGGTTTGGATTGGATTAGACCAATCAATTGTCTACTTGAGCTTTTTGTACATTTTTTCTTTTTAGTTTTTTAGTTTAATGTTCTAACCTATTTGTTATATCTTTTTGACAAAATTTAAATACTACAGTTGAAAAAATGAAGTAAGGATTAACATCCATAAATCTAAAAAAGCATATAAACTCTAAATTATTTCAAAGTTGATTAAACATTAAAAATAAAGTTACAAACTGATAAACATAAAAAGTTCAGTAAAAGAGAGCAATGAAAAACATTGAAAGAAAGTGAATAGGGAAAAAAATAGTATTTAAATTTTGGACCAATAAGATAAATATAAAGTTTTTACAATATACAGAGGTTGGATCGAGCGTTTTAAAAGTAAAATTAACATTCAATCCAACCAAAATCGGTTTTTAAGAATTTACATTCAATTTAATCTAATTGAGGTCGATTATTCGTTAAAAATGGATTGGATTAAGTGGGATCGGTTGGCTTGATCAGTTGATTGGATTAGACTTGGAAATGCCTCTTGAATTTTTTTTGTTCTTGTGGACAGCTCAAGTTGGATCTCCCGCATGCTCTGAAAGAAGTATTGCGGCTGCTTAACACGAGTCAACCATTTGTAGTTAGAGTTGTACATGATTTTTAGATTTTAGAAGATGAACTGTATTTGAATATCATGTTATTGTGTTCAAAGAGGATATTGTCAGCCTTTTGCACGTAGTGTTAATTCATCTTTGACAAATATCAGGGCATTATCAGTGTTAATTGCCTGATTTTATTATTTGTCAAACTTGACTAATTGACTCTAATCCCCCTAATTTTTGTTGGCCTGATACTGAATCTCAAATTATTTTTAGGTGCTGATTTAGTAGGGTTATATTTCTTAAAAATAAATACAAAAAGGCAAGCAAACAAAAATAACTCAAAATAGAAGGAAGACGGCAATGAAGCAGCCTTCGAGGAATACTCTTTTAATCTTTTTGAAACTTTAGAGCCCAAATTTATAGGACTTTCTTTTTTTCCTCAAAATCTTTGTTTATATTTTTTCTTCAAAATTTCACATTCCTCCAATTTTTTCTAAGAATTGAAGGCTACAATCTCTATCTCTGTCTGAATAATTGTGTAATTGTTGATCCTCAATGCATTATTTGCATCAAATAAAAAATTCATAAGGAACTTTGTCAATTTATAAAAAGTTCCAAGAAGAAAAAGGCGCCAAATATATCATGACAAGAAAATATTAAAAGAAAATAAATGCACAAATAACATAAACTTTTGTTCTTTATTCAAAAACGAAAAAAAAGCTAGCATCACTCTTTCTATAGCTCTTTACATTTATTACTTGACATGTGGACTCTATTATCTCACTTTCTATTTAAATAATAATATATTATTTTAGTGGAGTGCATGTGTCAAATAGTGAATGCAGAGAATGACAAAAAGAGTTATGCTATAGCATATTTTTAAAAAACGTAATTCCAAATAAACGCACGTAGAAATTATCAAGGCTTGTGAAGAGATCGGCCAGCAAGCAAAGCAGCTTCAGTGAAAGGGGAAATATCGTCAATGACTTTGTAGATGTTACACTTGTTGCCCTCGAATGTGTGGCCTCCTGAGTACTTCTTGACCTTTTCCATGCACTTTAGGAGCTTCTGGCTGCACTCTTGGCTTAGATACTCATATGCACCATCACCGAGCAATTGTTGTATAATTGCCCCTATATATTCACC